GAACTAGACTTAAATTCTCCCTCTATGGCTTATTAACTCCAACCATAGAAGATAACAATGAGTTAAGCTTGCAAATATCAGTTTTATTGCTTTAAAAATGAACAATATTGACCTCCCAGGTCTGATGCAAACTATATTTTGTGAATATTCAGTAATAATAAGAGCAAACATTTATGGTTGTTCCATATTTGGCTGATCCAAGAACTTTATATAAGTTAACTTACTTGATCTTCCTACCTACTCTGAGAGAATATATAATTATATCCCTTTTACATATGAGAAATATGAGCTATGGAAAGATTAAAAATCACTCAGTGCATACAGTTAGTGATTAGCTGGACTGTGTTTTCAATCCCAGTATTTGGGCTCTAGTCTTTGCTTCAAATCACTGTATTATTATAATATTATCAATTTATTTCCCCTGTAATGGCCTTAATTCCAATTCATTCTTATTAAAATGCTGAAAACAATTACTTTTAATGAAATAAAAACTGATCAGTTACCAACTTTATAGTAACAAGAACTATATTGGCAAAATTTATTTATTCCTATCAATCTTAATCCATCAATAATAAAAAGGGTAAGTGGTTATTCCACCAACTAGCTCTCCAAGATGTTAAATATGTTATACACATTCTAAACCACTAAACAATTACATGACTTAAGAGTTTATTTCAAGAAAACCCTCGAGGAAGTGGCTTTAATATAAGGATAATTCATCACAGTTTTATTACCAATTTAAAGACTTCTAAATGCACATTTCATAGCACAATAAAACGAAAAAGTACATACACATTGGCATGTAAAAAAATCATTATTTATTAAAAACAATCGACAACACATAAAGCTCCATGGCAGCTGAAGATTCTGGAATCTGTGACACTTCATAAAGGGCTCCGATTTCACAGTATTTCAGAATCTCTGATACTAGGAAAACACGATGAGAAACAAGCCCCAGAAGTCAACTCCTCCATCCTTCTGACTAGCACTTTCCAAACAAAATAATCCCATGATAGCATTCCTCTCATTCTGATTTTAAATGTTAACTTTTTGAAGAAGATAAAACACCACTCTGACAGAGACCTTTAAAACAGAGAAAATGTTAATGAATGTCCTTTCACAACTCATGTCCTTCCTGATTATTTTGAGAGAAAATGCATTTAGCACGGGCAGTATAAAACTGTTTTAGGCAACCCTTAGCAAATAACTGATGCTTACTAAAATAGCAGACCATAGTTTGCTATAATTCATCAGTAAATGAATTAACCTAGAGCTGTCATTTATTTGATCTCTGACCTTCTGTGGAACATCTTTTTCAGACACCACTTCTCCATCCATTAGCTCTTTTCAGCTCTACAGCTAAAGCGCCCACCACCCCCTTAATAGCTTTAAAACTTGTTAAAACTGAAACCGTCATAACTGCATTTATATTTAACTCATTATGGCAGAGGGGATGATGTGGTTTGTCATCTCTCTCCCTCATCTCTCTCTACTCATTTTCTGCTCCCAACCTTAGTACACTATCTAAATCCAAGCCAAGGGGTCAAGTGACAACATTTCAGCAGCAAACACAGCATAGACCCGTTAGTATATGCTTCATCATACAATTCAACCATTACAATTTCCAAGAAAATATTAAATATCATGCTTTATAGGAGTTTAAACACATTTTTGCTATTTAGTTCAACCTAAAATTAGGTTTTTTTCAGATTATGGTAAAAAAAGGTTTATATTTTTCAAACAACTAAAATTAGACCACTTCAGTATGCGAAAGACATTATATACCAAATAATGCAGTAAATTTAACACTAAAAGCTTCCAGTAAGGAAGGCATTGATCACAACTATCTTTCTTTACATAATCTTTTCCCAGAGTTTAAGGGCCTCTTTAGAGAGTACTCTGCTGCATCAACACAGTGATTACCAGGGCACCAAAGTGAGGTGAATAAAAAGCAAGGAGTTAACAGTACTTAATATTCCTCATTAGTAAATCATGAGACAGAGAAAGTAGACACAACTGGTTTCTAAGTCAACAAAAAAATAATAAAAGGAAAAAAATACTTTTTTGATATCAGGAATCAGTCCCTTACCATTACTAGAGGGGCACGAACCACTCTTAAGTAGCATGTATCTAGGGTGTTCTGTTCGAGGTATCAGAGAGAACAAATGCATAATGGAAGAATTGCTGGTCTTCAAATCACTGTCTCCCTCTCTTCAGGTCCCCTATTTCATTTCATGTCATCCCCTAACCTGAAACTTCAAGCAGATGCTCCAGTAAATAGCCAAATTATCTATAAGAGTGTATACTAAGCAGATAGAGGTGGTCATTTTGGAAAGAGAAAAATTTGCTGTGTGACCATATATCTGACATATGACTTCAAGTCTTCTATGAAAGTGGGTTATGTATAAGTAACAACAGATAAGGAATAAACAAACCCATTTCCAGTCTCTATTACAATCCTATAACAGGATAAGAAAGTAAAAGAAATAGGTAGTTATTATTCTGAATCCATCAGTATTCTAGATACACTCCCCAAAGGTGATGTACATAAATCATAGAGTTGGACCATTGGGGCATTCAGAGAAGGTTCCCAGACATCAGTATTTTTCTTAACCTGGATGAAATCTTATTTCTCCATGCCATTTCCCATCTTCCCCCCAAACACACACTCCTTTTCTTATATGGTGCAAGTGTGTGTGTGTGTGTGTGTGTGTGTGTGTGTCCAGTATGTTAACCAATTCTTTCATTCTCATAAATGCTTGCACAAGAGAATTTAAATGTAATTTTTTAAAAAGATGAAATCTTAGCAAGCCAAGATTAATCATAGTTCAGTGACTTGTTAAAAACAAAGCTTTCATTGAATATGATCGGTAAAGTTGTTATCTTTGCCCTGAGAAAGTCTATATTTCAAGAGTTATGAAAGGACATTATTCAAAAGCGAACAGCTCTTAGGCATATAATCATCTGTTGGATTTATGCCAGCAGCTGGTCAACAAGTTGCAGGCATTTAGGATTTTTTTTCAGAGATTAAAATTTTATAAGATTGCACTTTAAATCATGAGACCAACCCATCATTACTTGGAGGAGGAAAAATATCAGACATAATATCTCTTTCGTAGGAAAAGAAATATTTATGGAAATCTAATCCCTATTATACAGTAACCTTCTAAATTATAAGTACTTAAAATGACTCCTTTCCTAGTATTACCAGTTTTCTCTAATATCACTGCCTGCTGCTCTTTTTTCTCACTACTTGGCATCTCATGGCAGCTTTTGAAGGGCAACTAAGCTGTGCTGGGCCAACAGTGTCCCCTGATGGTTTCCTTGAGAAACTGTCTGACCTAGGGTTTCTTCTCTGCAAGAATCCTACATGCTCATTTACAACTCCCAGCTCAGATGTCTTTAGCACTCCCTATACATGCATTATCTCTTAACACCTCCCACTCCCTCTAACTCAGTGATTGTCAAGGTGGAGAGCATAAGGAAAGAAGACGTGAAGGTTAGGAAACATTTAGAAACTGGATAAGGAGCAACTTTTCAAAATATTAAACATCCCTCTCCAGAGATTTTTAGCCAGACGTCATCTTGCTGTACTCTTTGAAAATCACCATGGGTCAAGACAAATACATGTTACCTCAAAAAATGCAAAACCAGAAAACTTAAAACTGCTGTGCAGCCCTAGCCCTCTTTATTTTCTTCATTTATCTTCTCCAGTAATAAGATTTACCTCGTCAGTACCATAGCCCCTGAAGTTTTTCTAAAATTGAGGTAAATGAACTTCAACCTTCTTTTGGTTATCCATCACTGTTTTGCATCCTATTATAGCAAACCACTTATATCTATCTTTATGCCTCCCCTCACAAAAGATCCATTTTATTATTAAAATATTTTTCACTACAAAATAATTTAGGATGAAAAAAAGTCATTTATAGTTGGAGATCCAGCTTGAGGGTCAAAGAACTCTCTTCTGGGAATCAGACAAGTTTAGAAAGATTTGGTGACTCTGGGGTTAAAGTCACCCCAAATTTCCTTGTGAGAGGAACTTAGATATCTCTAGGTAAAGGACTTTCCATAAAGGAAAAGAAATATAGGCAAACAAGTTTTCTCCAATCTCCATCACCTAATTCTGAAAGAGAAGTGATTCTACTTTCTACATGGAGCCAGTCACTTGGATTTGTGGTCCCCTACCACCACCAGTACCTCCCATAGATACCTATATGAGTCATAAGCAAAAAGGAGGATTGTAAAAAGAACTGAAAGGGGTACGTTCCATTGAAAAAAATCTGTAAGACATTAGTGAAAACAGTATTCCTGCTATGGTGTCTACCTTGCATGATATACACAACAATACCTACAAGCAATATAGCCCAGTTACAGTACCTTAAGGCTATAGAATCCAGTGCAGTTTCTAACAATACTTTTACCCATGTTAGAAGCATCCAAAAACCAGAAGATAAATACTCGCATCTTCAAGATGCATATTTACCAAGCCCCAAGCAGGACACCTCAGTAGATGATGTGCTTCATTGATTCAGTCACAGAAGTGACCTCTGAGTTGCAGAGTCCATCATGAATGCATGTGAGTGACCCTTCCAGCCATAACCCTCCAGCCCCAACCAACCTCCAGCCTCCCAGAAATAACAAAGTATAACTTTAATAGGAAAAAAAAATGATCCTACATTTCAGCCAAGACTAATGACTAGAATATACAGATTACATAAAGCTAATACTACTAACATATGAATATTTGGAAAAGTTTCCCTGTAATATTAAGTATTTTTTATAATGTTTTTCAGTCTGCAAGTAAATGACATGCATATAATTTCTGCTCAAATATCTTCAAGGATGTTAAGATTAAATCACTTGAAGACAAGGTCTTGGTCTCAATTTCTCATTTTCTCCAAATCTTTCTTAAACAGAAAATGAAACATTTAAACCTGTACTTTCCCCCTCCCTTCTTTTATTCTCTCTCAACAATATAAAATAGTGAGTTAATATACCGAGTACATTAGCAGTACACTGAAGAATTCCTGAGACATCTTCAATTTCTTCTTTGTTGGAATGGTCTGCATAGGAGCATCTGTTAGAGATATTGTGGAAATTCTTTTCTGCATCCCTATAACTAAGAAGAAAATAATATTAGCATACAGAGAAATTTTTGAAAGAATCTGCAAATGTACTCATCTATACACATGTAAACATGCAGTCTACACTTCAGGGTTAATCACATTTTAAAATAACTGAACAATTGTACATAATTCTGGCATAACTCATCATCTCCATCACTGTTAGTAGTGTTGACTTAGAACTGAAGGCAATCATTTAATAAGAACGCTGATAGTGAAAAAAATAGATGAGGAAAACCAAATATATATCAGCTTTTGTATAGCTATTGTATTCTTTTATGAGTACTATTTTGCTGTTGATAATATTCCCATAAGGAAGATGCCTAGAAAAAGAAACATTAAGAGTACTAATTTGATACTTTGGCACTCTGCTGTTTTGAAAGTACACACACTGTAACCTCCATCGCAGTGGAGAAGAGAGCAGTATGGTGTATGGATAAAAAATCAAATGAATAAACCTAGCATTCAGAGCTGGCAGAATTTGAGTCATGGTCTTACCATTTTATTTCTGAGCAAGATAGAAAGACATTGAGCAATAGACTAATCCCTACTAGTGTAACTTTGCTCCCTTTAATAATGAAAGTACCCATAGAGTTTCCATTAAGACTAAATAACATGATGCCAGTGCAACTTAATGTTGGCTGGGACTCATCCAGTGGCCTCTAAATGAGAGTTAAAGCCTCAAAGCTGAGGCCAGTGGAGGCCAAATGTTCTCACATTCCCAAAAATGTAACCAAGAAGACTGGAACTCTCCTTCAAGATTTAAGAGATGGATGAATAGCCACTGCCACTGTGACCCTACCACCGACTCACAAAAGAAAAGGAATAGAAAGAAACCACCACCACCACAATCATAAGAGTTGCTAGGTCAAGGAGAGCATGTGGTTGCACATTTTCCCCTCCCCTCTGAGACAAGGAGAGAACAGGCGTGTCCCCTGCAGAAGCCCAGTTGAGGAGAGCAGTCTCCCGGGTAGAGAGCAGAGGGTAGGTGTCTCATTCCCCACTGAACATCTGCTAAGACAGAGGATTTCCTGATCATCCTTCCATGCCTGATTGGGTAGAGGAGAAAGATTCTGGAGAGACTTATTGGCAAGTAAAACAAATAAAACAAATTTGGGAGCAACTTACAGGCCCACCATTTTGCAAGGTAAAAAAGTAAAACAGGAGATTCCTGTAAGTTAGGGAGATGCCACTGAAGAGAGGAGAGCTGAGTGGTCCAGTCCTCCTGCTGCTTTCCTAGGCCAGGGGTGGGATCCCACTAGCAAGACTATGGAGTGCAGTCCTGAGAGGGTATCTGAAGCAGCTGGGAGGGACGGAGCCCACACATATACTTCACTGAGGGCTTCACAGCCAGGACATAATTGTTATGACCATTAGTGAATTCACTGAGGCTTCTGCCACTTTCTATTTCACTAATGCCTGACATAACACATCAGAAAGAAGTGGCATTGAGAGGAGAAGTGAATGCCCACATCAGACACTCTCTGCACTGTACCCCAAATTCCTCAGGCCAACACCTGGCCAAGGCAGGGGAAGGGAGAAAAGAGACTGGAGATTCAAACTGGCCCACCATGGACTTTACAATCCTTAAAAATTACTTAGAAAACAAAGCAATCTGTCCAAGCAAGGATCAAAAGGGATTCATTTTAGCATGCTTGAAGTTTTGAAGTGATTGTAGGAAAAAATTTTTAAAATGGCTTCATGTCATAACCGCCACCCACTGAGATGAGACTCCAATAAACCAGTCAGTTAGGCAAAATGCTTAGTACCGTTTCTAGAATACAGGAGAAACTCAATGAGAGGTGGAATAGGGAACACAGACATTAAACACAGCTACATCGTTATTTTTAAATCAAGTTCCATCATTTTTATTTAGAGTGACTTTAGGCAAAATGTTTTTTCATTGAGTCTGTGAAATAATGTGGTTAGGATTAAATAGCAGATGTAAAGTACTCAGCATGTTGCCTCAAACATAGCAAGAGATGGTAGCTTTTGCCTAACTTGCCATTTTTATTCAAAAAGATATAGTTATTCTTTGTAAATATATATATATATATATATATATATATATATATATATATAATCAATTAGATCATATCTTAGATACGATAATTTATAATCACAAAATCTGACCATAAAAGCATAAGAAATATATTTGAAATTTGTTTCCCAGAATAATCAGGGCTCACCTACTCTTACTTCTAATGCTCTACTGAAATTATTCTGGCTTAATCTCCTTTCAATTGTCAAAAGAAAAATAGAACAGAAGGTTAGCTGTGTAAAACAAACATAGGGCCCACAGTGATAATAAGAGTAGTAGAGATTAATTTTAGATGACTATAGGAAATGGTGTCACCAGCCTAATACGAGGCTGGCCACAGTCCTGATGGTGATATTAACAATGTGTATGCGCAAAACTTGTAACATGAAGGTCATGATTCTGAATACATATTCTTCTGAGCTTTATTGTTTAAAATGCAGAATGGATGAACCACAGATCTCAGGAATATTGACTATCATTTGTTTTCCATGATAGTTTTTCTAAAGAAATCTCTGCTTTGTCGACACTGCCACATAACCCACTGTCTGGGCTCAGACCAATGGGAGTCATACAGTATAAACATGAGTTAGAGAAGGTGGGTCAGGCACTCGAGAGACAGAAAAATTAGGTCAAAAAATCTAAAGCAAAAAGAATTTTTATGAAGAAAACCACAGCTGGAACATGAACTGGGCATGTCTACTTCCTAATGCTAATCAATGGATTCCTAACCTTGAAAGGTCTAAGGAGGATGGGAAAGGACAGCAAGAGGATAAAGTGAAAGACAATGAATAAAAACTAAAATACAAAAGAAAAAAGGAGTTAGATGCTAATAGAGGTAAGAATAACTCAGTGGATGCTTTGGTGAGCTTTGCTTCCTGGGCACTGTAGTAACTACCTGATTATATGATTTCACATATTATTAAAATTCAGATTCCATTTAAACTTCACCCTAATCCCATTGTCATTCACACTTTTCAATGAGAAAACAAAGGCTCAGGGATTTCAAGTAATTTTCTAAAGATTATTCAATAGTAGAACATGACTTTACGTCCAGGAAGTCTTATCCATCTACCTCCAAAGCACAATTGCTCCCTTTGTTTCCAGAAATGATTGTCATGTGGGTCAGCCAACTGCATGGGGAAAGCCTGCATGGGCAGCACCACCCAATGGCTGGGGGCCCAGATGGAACAAAGACCCACAGAGAGAAGAAAATAGCAATAAAGACATTAGAAAGAAATGTCATCATAAACAGATATTCCTCAATCCTGAGTTCCTCTTAATTCCTAAACTGAATCCCTGTCTCCTACTGATCCCTTCTACTTCTCACTGTGCTCTCTATCCTACATAGCCCCAACAGCTTATCCACTCTGTAGAAACAGAGTTAAAGACATTCACCACCCATCTCTGATTTTATATTGAAGGAAGAAGATTGCTACACAAACAAGAACCTCTTGTTAACACCAATGTGTAGAGTTCATAGAGTAATCAGAGTTTCCACAAAGTCAATCAGATACACAGGGCAGAATATTAAGTATAAATGAGAAAAATATGTATATGAATCAGTATAATTTATGTCATGAAGAAAAAGGCCCAGGATACTAAAACTATAAAATTTACAACCATAATATACACTGGAGATTATTTTAACCCCTCATTTTGCACATACTTCCCATGCATAATCGACTCTCTTATTCATTATGCTCCTAAAAACCTATGTATACATACCTCTAGCATGCAATTTATTTATTTATTCATTCCCTCCCTCCAAGAAAGATCTTGATTCCTCCTACATGCCAAGCACTTATGTAAAAGTAACACGGAAAATGAGACAATGAACAAGATAATATCAGCTGATGATAAGCCCTATGAAATGAAATCATAAAGGGTAGTATAAGAGAAAATGACTGCAGGTGGGGTTGGAGGACTCCTTTTCCTTGGGTGCTCAGGACAGGCCTGTCTTAATAGATGGCCTTTGATCAGAGACCTGAATGCACAAAAGAAATAAACCATGTAAACATCTGGGTACAGAGCATTCCAAGAAAATGGAGCATTACATACAGAGCCCTAGAGGCTAAGTTTGGTACAATTGAGGAACCAAGAGTTGAAATGCAATGAAAAGAGGGATAGAGTGATAAAACAAAAAATCAGAAGCATAAGTATAGATCAGATTACAGAAAGAATCAGACTATACCCTATCAATATAAACCATTATATGGTTTATAGTAGGTGTTTTGAAGTGTGATCTCTGGACCAGCAACATCAGTATTACCTGGAACTTGATACCTCCCCAGATATACAAAATTAGAAACTCTGGGGGTAAATGTGGTGGTTAATCTTTGCTGTCAACCTCACTATTGAGAGATGCTTGGAAAATTTAGTCTGGCACACTCCTGGGTGTGTCTGTGAGGGTGTTTCCAGAAATGATTGTCATGTGGGTCGGCCAACTGCATGTGGAAGGCCTGCATGGGCAGCACCACCCAATGGCTGGGGGCCCAGATGGAACAAAAAGTGGAAAAAGAAGGAAGCTAAAACACACCTGCATGATCAACTCTTCTTAAACCACTGAGATTTTTACTGTTTCCCATGGACATTAAGCTCCAGGTTCTTCAGCCTTCACACCCAAACTTGCACCAGCAACTCTCTGTGGAGCTTCTAGGCCTTCAGTCACAAACTGGGGCTGCATCATTGGTCCCTCTTGTTCTGAAGCTTCCAGCTTCTTGGACCAAACAGCTACTTGTTTCCTCAGTGCCTTAGCCTACAGATGGCCATTGGGAGACTATTCAGCCTCTGATCACACTCTCACACACACACACACACACACACACACACACACACACAAGTTCTATTGGTTTTATTTCTCTGAAAAGCCCAAATACAATAGGTCCAGAAAACTTCATTTTAAAAAGACTTCAAGGGGCCACTGATGCACATTAATATTTGAGAACTATTGGTTTCAAATAAGAAAGTAGCATGATCTCATTTTTTAATTACTTTGGTGTAGTGATAACCCAGTATTAAGGGACAGTAGAAGCCAGAAAACTAGATCAGAATCCCTCAGTGAGAGATGATGATGGCAGTAGAGATGAAAGGAAGATTTATCACACAGCATGAATAAATTATTTTAGCACTCTTTTTCCCAATGTAAGTGATCTCTATGAATAAACAAATGAATGAGTGAATGGATAGATTAAGGAGTAGGATAAATGTTTAAAGATATAGTGGCTGGCACAGAAAGGTTATCTTACTCCCCAAGAAAACGTTCCCTCATCTACTCCCTCCCAATCCTCCATCTGTGATCCTTTGAACAGCTGCTCCCTGAATTCAAGTCTAGGTCTTGGGAGACGAAAAAAGCCTCACAGAGTTTCTATGGGCAACCAGCATAAGAATTCAAGGAGCATGATACACTATCCCAGAGCTCTGATAAATAAAGCAGCTCTAAGGCAGAGTTTTGAGAAGAGGAAAGGGAGGATGGGAAGGTCAGTGGTTGGAGGGTAAATTAAGAACTTAAAAAGAGAAGGGCTAACCCCTACCCTCTCATCCACCCTGATTCAGCACCACAATTCAAGGCACCTAAGCTGAGTTACTTCAAGATAAGCCTTAGGAAATCCCCATTTCAGAAAATAAAAAAAAGTATCTCCTTCTCTCTCCCACCTCCCCCCAGATATGTAAAATAATGCTTGCCATTACTTATTCTCCATTGCCTGAAATCCCCTTAACTGTAAGAAACACATTCCTTTTCACAGTTAGAGATAAAAAGCCTTAAATTGTGTTTCTTAAGAGAAACAACACATAGGTGTGAACACATTTTAGTCCAAGTGTTAGTGATATTAGCTGTTCTCTTTTTGCAGTTTTGAAGAGAGCAATAGAAAACAGAAAGATGGAGTCTAAAAGGCAAAAGAGGGAATTGGGACCTGAAGCCATAAGATGAGGAAAAGTGAAGAAGGGAAGACGAAGTTAAGAAAGGCAAGTGTGACAAACTGCTGCCAGCCAAACCTGTCTGTGCCCATGGCATGAGGCAAAGAGAGAGCAAAGGTGCTTCACATCCAAGAGTCAGCCACACCCAACAAAAGTAGCCAATAGCTCTATTTGGATCAAGTTGGACATCAGACCCGACCTCTAACAAATTCTCTTTATTCTTTATGTTACATCTGTAATAAACAAACTAGGAAAAGACCAGTTAGGCAATGAACAAGGACATCACAGGCCATGTCTGTCTAGAGAGGAGAGCTGAGGCTGTTAGGTAAAAGAGAATGCATCATCCCACTAATGGCAAAAAAAAAAAAAAAATGTTCTGCTGATTATTGCAATATACTTATCTATTTTGATCATATCTTAAGAGTGCCATTCCAATTTGCCTTGAAGCCCTAGTTGAGTTCAAAAGTGAGAATATCATCTCAGTTATTTAGTTTTAGAACAGAGAGAACATTCATAATTCTAGAAACTAATTTGGGTTTGATGATTGGTATTATCATAAAAATATTAATAGCAATTAATAAACATAAGAGCAAACATGTAGTGATGGCCACATACAAGAAACTGTTCTAAACTAATTTAATCCATACACCATACTTTGAAAGTAGCAAGCTCAATGAGAGTGATTAAGTTTTATTTTAGAATGTGTGGGGAAAGATTAATTTGACATTCTTTAGCTCCATTAGGATAAACCATTTGAAATCACTAATGGCCTCAAACTAAAAGCCATCTCATGAGTTTAAATAATGTTTTTCCTAGTACTGCACTCTTGAGGATTAGTATGACAAAATTTCAAAGCAATTCCCTTCGAAATGACAATTAGCAATCATCAAGCACTTAAAAGTACATGGTATTGTACTAGGTACCGAGATTAATTTTTAGTTCCTTTTCTTCCCTTCTGTTTTGTTAAAATAAAAAAATCACACTACCACAAAATACCCAAAAATATGTACTAATCCCTAATGCAATGACCACTAGCCATAATGTAAAATGATCCCTGATATTTTAATAAGTAGCAGGTTTTGAATTGTGACTTCTCAAAAGTTCTTAAAAATCTTACAAAGATAAATCATTGTAAGCATATAAAGAATACCAACAAGGTGATTTAAAAATGTACATTGCCTCTAATGTCAATGAATTTTAAAAGCTACAATGCACAAGAAAGTAAATTTAGGCTTTTGTCAAGCAATTGCCTTTTGCCAAGCAAATCAAAATCAAAAGTATACCTGGTTCTCATTTGGAGTTTTCTGTTCATAAAATACTTTCATTGAAATTATATCATTTCATTATGACATCTGATCTTTGACTTAGTTATTATCACCATCATCACATTTTACAAAAGAGATAAAAGTTCTAAGTGCTAGAGAGACATTGAATTCCTACCTTTTGATATCAAATCTTTATACCATATCCTATTTTAGAAATAGGGAATAATTCAGAAAAATATGTAGCAAGTTACTCTAACTAAATCAATAGGTATTTTGATTAAACTCTGCCTAAAGATTCTAACATTCAAAGCCTCTTAGTTGGTATCAATAAATCTTACCACAGCAGGAAGGCCAAATTATGAGATTCAGTCATGGAATGAGAGAGTAAGAACACAAGCAGGACAAAAAGGAAAGGAGAGCAATAACAAAAAAGAAACCTCATGTAAAAGAATTAAATACAAATAAACCAAAGGAAATCACTCCAAGGGACCCTCGTCAGTCCCCCCACACACACACTTTGAGAACATAGCCGCTATGAGATAAGGTTGACATGTGTAACAGAATGACCACATGTTCAACACCTGTTTGTAAGTAATCACCTTTAATTTTGTCCCCATTAATGAACAAAACCCATTTTTACTCACCCAATAACTTGATGTTCATAATACTGCAATGTCCTCTTGAGAGTTTGCTGTATCGTCTGAGGCTACAAGATAACAACAACAACAAAAATACATTATCAGCAAATCAGTGTCATTCTCGTTTTAAGCATTCTAAGCAAAGAATGCAGCTTTTAATTTATCTCACAAGTTTTCACTTTATAATATGAACACATTTTGCACTAGGCCATATATTTTCCCTGCAGAAACTAATGAGGCATTCAGCATTTACCCAAAATTTCCCAATTTCAAGTATGATAATATTTTCTATTTTTTTCCTCAATTTTATTTTGAACCATCAATGAATTTCAGTGAAATATTCATTGGCTGCCTACAATCAATGGAGACCTTGGGAGAAGTGGGAGGGTATACTACAGAAATCTAGGTCATAGTTCTTCCTGCCCAGCTTGTATATCTGCATGAGGTAATGACCAACTGAAATGAAAGGGAACATCTTAACATTTTATGCTTTAACAAGACTTTCAAGAATGGTGTAGCAAGCAGTAATGAATTGAGTTATGCAGCCCACTATATAACAAGAGATATTTTTAAAATTAGATGATCTTTCTTTTTTCCCCATTAGTTGTACATCTGAGGAGACTAATGGGAAGGCTAGAGAAGGATGGGAAGCAGGTGGTCCAGAGCCCCACAGCCATCATTTCAAGTAGCAGTCAGCCTGACTTCCTCAGTGTTCCAAGAGATTTCAAGCAAGGATTCTTTCTGGAGCCCCTACAAGGGCCACAACTACTATGGGAAAAAAATGGGGTCTGTAACAAATATGTAAGCAGCTCATGACTGAATTTTATAATCCTCTCCTCCCCAGGACAGCTCAAGATAGAATTTTTAAATTCTAGATCAAGAAGTTATTTTCTGAAAAAATAAAAATAATTATTTGAGGATAAAAGCTTTTGGGAACCTAAGGCTGGAATGTGATCTAACTAAAAAGCTAGATGATGAACTATTTGCTTCTGATTCCAGAATCCGTAAAGCAGCAATCTGTAAAGGTTTGCCTACAGAGGCCAGAAAGGTTTTAAAGGCCATGTAATCTCTGTCACAAGTGCTGAATTTTGCCATTGTAGCATGTATGCAGCTAGAGGCAATATCCAAATAAGTACAACTTTATGCCAATAAAAGTTCATTGTTAAAAACTGAAAAAAAAAAAAAAAGAAGTTATTTTCTGACTTATTTAGGCTATCAGGCCTGAACTTGGAGTTTCAAACTCAGGGAACTACGAATGCACTCAAATATCCCAGAAAATAGATTCTATTAAGAAGTTATATTAAGAAGAGTCAAATTCTCAGCATCAAGAGAGTAAGCTTTTTAAATAATAAAAACCTATAATCATTCAAACAGAAAAAAGCTATCAAAAACTTATCAAAACATTGATCCATTATATAACACAAAACCTTTGAGATATGAGGCAGAACCCTAACTTGGTAATCTCAAGGACTGCTGCTAATTAACTATACAAACCTAGTACCTATAAAAAAGGTAATCTGTAAAGACATCCAGCATGGCATGGTGTTGGCACCTAAGAAGAATTAATACATATCAATATCTAATCCTACTCCTTCAAAGTGGCTGTCTTAAAGATATAAATCAAAAGAGACTACAGAGGTCTATGTCTACCCTCTTCATGTTCATCCCTTTATAAAACATGCAAGATAGGTGTGACAATCTCCCTAACACTCATCAAACCTGTAACCTCCTCCTTGGCAGGAAATGATTATTTTAGTCAGAAGAAAGTGAGCTTAAATTAAACCAGGGGCATCCACTGAGACCTACTCTACGCTATCACATAGAAAGACCCTTTCACAGTGTGAATCTAAGGCCTCAAATATATTCATGTTAGCCAAGCCAATTCACAAATTAATTTTAGGGAAAAAATCAGTATCTGAGTGTTCAAAGGAAAGGTACAGAGCAACTTCTTTCAGCAGGTATTTTCAATTTACACTGGGTTAAAAGATTATCTCAAATGGATACAGATGTTTCTATTCATCAGGCTAGAATCAAAACAGAGTAAATGCAATGCACCTAGGAAAGAATAATCATTCCTGAGCCAAGAATCAGTGGAGCAGCTGAGCAATCTAAAGAGAATGAAGCAGATGCAGTGGTTGTAGTATACATGAAAAGTATGCTGTAACAACCCAAACCATGGCCAGCCTGAACCAATCATCATCAGTCACTGGCTCAGCACCCCTGGGATCTGGGGCTCTTGCACTGGGTTGGCAGTTTCTAAGCTAAGATAACTTTCCCTTTGGCAACATGCCCCCAAAGCAGTGAATATCCACAGAGGGATTATCCTTCCAATAACCTCTGGTCACAAAACATGGAACAGAAAGCAAAAAGTAGAGTGCACAGGGCCAATTAAGACCAGAATGACCTCATTTGTACAAAAGGACATTTTTTTCCTATACTAGGAATTTCCCAGTCATTAAAAAAAGACATTTGTTAAAGGACTTAAGCTCTTTAAAGAGCTGACTTCTTTCTTGTGTGAAGCAATTACTTCCTCACTTGGTAGGAGTTAAATTTATAGTTTACAAATATGTTAAAAGGAAATGCTCTTTGGGCACAACCTGCAAAGCTTCAAGTTAGTAAAGCATATGTATATACATACATATATCCTTGTTCTTGCAGAAGCCAGTGGGCACAAGCTAATGGCCTACACCACAGCACAAAGGCTGACTGCCCAGCATCTCCTGCAAGCCAGTACTGACCTCAACACAGTTCCAACCCCTCAGAATGTCTCCACACTTTAGTCTTTAGATTCTGACTGATCACCTCAAACTATGGCCTGATTGGTGAGAGACATCTTCGCAAAATCTCAGGGTCTCTCTGACCTGAATAAAGAGCATGGAATGAAGACCACAATGGGACAAAGCCTCCCACAGTGATGACTTCTGCCTTGAGGCTGGTAGAGGCCATTTATTCATCAAACTTTTACAAAGTGCTCAAGCTTGCCAATGATGCAGGTCAAGGTATAGAGTGGGAAAAGCAAGGGCTTTGCACTCACACAGTCCTTCTATTCTCTCCTTCAAGAAATGCAGCTCTTTAGCTGTTTTCTACTATGAAGTATTATCCAATCCTTTTCCAGCCAATATTTCATGTCCCTTATATGTATCTACTGTTTCCTTTGAGAAGGAATTAGAAAGATGATTTAGAAAAGCAGCTGTAAGGTCAAACTAAGTTTAAAAATCAAGCTCTGTGACTTACTATCAGATGACTTCAGACAGTTTAAGCTCCATGAAACAGATTCTTTATGTACATATTATTTTTAAGGGAATTAATTGAAATAAGCAGTCCTTGGCATATAGTATGTGCATAATAAATGATAGTTATGGCTATGCCAAGCAGGAAACCTCAAAACTGTCACTATCTAGTGGAGAAACACAAGGGGTAGGTCAGAAAAATCCAACCAACAAGTGTAGTATGTGGGAATCTTCATTATCAAAAAAAAAAAAAAAAACAGAGCCACCTCCATTTCTAATCATGAAAAGTTGGCTCCCGGTCCAGTACACATAACAAAAATGAAAAGAAAAAAAAAAACAGAAAAATAGCAGGCTAATTTATCAATATTTCTAATGAAGCAATAAGATCAGTCCAAAGAGATGACAACACAAACAGAATTCTCAAAATTAAGATTGAAGATAACTCGGAAGTCATGCCTACAAGAGGGAGGAGCACTGAAACACCACAGCTAAGGAGAGGACCCCAGGCATCATACTTTACAACAAGAAACAGCCCATGAATTATGAGACTTCCTTAGACACAAAGTATGTAACTTGGGAGAGCTGCAAGTCCTAATAATTTTAAAGCCCTATGCAAGAGGATCCAAAAAACAGAGTGAAGAGACAGAACTACTTTTATTTTCATTAAAAAAAATCAAAGAGGGCTGCGATGGTTCTCTGTTTCCTCCAATAGGCTTCCCTATTGTTCTAACTCAACACAAAGAAGCATGGGTAGAAAACAGCTGAAAAAAAGAAAGCAGCCACCTGTGTCCTGCACAAGTATTTTTCTGGGGCTCAAACAGAGGATACCCAGAAGCTTCCATTACATGACAAAAAATGATCTTCGTCACTAGCCTCATGGCCAGCATCACTGTACTTGGTTAGCAGTGACTGACCCTACAGACTTAATGTTCCATTCATGAAAGGTCATGGGATCCAAACAGGCAGTCATGAAACAATCCCAACAGAGCCAGAGATATGATCCCTGAAGAGTGGGAGGGAGCAGTTCCCAGCAGCTGGCCCTGCAAGCTCAGACAGTCCTGCTGAGGCTCCCACACAGTCCCTGCTCTGGATATCCGAGCCAGATGGTGCGGGGATCAGGCAGAAGGCAGAATCAAGATGTGTGTGTGTGTGTGTGTGCGTGTCTGCGCGCGTGCACACGCACACACACACACACATACACAGCATTAAACACAGTTGTGTGTACAAAGTGCATGTTCATCTCATCAGAGATGAAGTAGAGGCTCAGGGAAGTTAAGCAAGTGCTACAAAATCACACAGCTCTAAGTGAATAAATCCCTGCAAGCCAGGAAGAGCTACATAGCATGTCTTCTTTTCACTAGATTCCCTTGAGAATCCTTCTCATCTCTCCCATACTGTGATTCGACATTCTTATTTGATTTACACAGCCTTTCATCATGCCAAGGAAGAAAAAACAGACAACTGGAAAATAAACTTCTTCATTTCTGTTTAGAAGCACACACAAGATTAGATTTAATGAAAACTATAAAGATGTTTCCTTGCATAAAAGAAACACCCATCAATATCTGTTATCATTATATTTATTTAAATATGATAAAATGATCTATGATGAAACTAGGGCTGGGGTTGTGGTTCAGTGGTAGAGCGCTTGCCTAGCACATGTGAAGCACTGGGTTCAATCCTCAGCACCACATAAAAATAAACAAATAAGTAAATGAAATATTGTGTCCATCTACAATTAAAAATGTTTAAAAAGCATCTGTCAATGCTTCTGGGTATCCTCTGTCAATGAAACTAAATGATATGGGTATATTCTGAACTACTATCACTCTAAGCGA